ACATACATACATCTATATATACGTACACACCTACATACATACATACATACATACATTCATGCATACATGCATACATGCATACATGCATACATGCATACCTGCATACCTGCATACATGCATACATACATAAATGCACACATACCCACATACATACATACATACATACATACATACATACATACATACATACATACATACATACATACATGCATGCATGCATGCATGCATACATACATACATACATACATAAATAAATACATACATACATACATACATACATACACACACATACATACATGCACGCATTGACGCATGCATGCATGCATACATGCATGCATGCATGCATGCATGGGAGTTTGACGTAGCTTCTCGGGAGCCTCTGAACCTGTCGGGGGCCTCCTGGAAGCAGGTTCGAAGCATTTTGGGGGCCGATTTGGGGCTTCGCGGGGCCTCCTTTGGGCCTCTTGGGGGTCTCCTGGGGCCTCTTGAGGGGCCTCCTTGGGGCCTCCTGGCGGCCTCTTGGGGCGGAAGGCTCGAGCTTGCGGTTCGTGGTCCCCCTCTGGGCCCCCTCTTGGGCCCGTTTCGGGGCCCTCTTGGGCCATCTTGGGCGCCTCTTGGGCCGCTTTGGGGCCCTCTTGGGCTGTCCTGGGGCCCTCTTGGAAGCTTCTTGGGCCGTCTTGGGGCGGTCTTGGGCGCCTCTTGGGCCGTCCTGTAACGTCGGAAAGCCCAAAAGGCGACTTTGTGAAAAATGTACGTTTTACGAAGGGAATGGGTCAATTTTTGCGTCTAGGGGCCCTCTTGGGACGCATGTTGGAGGCTTCTTGGGGCGTCTTGGGGGCGTCCTTGGACGTCTGGGGTCTCCTGGGGCCTCTTGAGGGGCCTCCTGGGGGCCTCCTGGCGGCCTCTTGGGGCGGAAGGCTCGAGCTTGCGGTTCGTGGTCCCCCTCTGGGCCCCCTCTTGGGCCCGTCTTGGGGCCCTCTTGGGCCATCTTGGGCGCCTCTTGGGCCGTCTTGGGGCCCTCTTGGGCTGTCCTGGGGCCCTCTTGGAAGCTTCTTGGGCCGTCTTGGGGCGGTCTTGGGCGCCTCTTGGGCCGTCCTGTAACGTCGGAAAGCCCAAAAGGCGACTTTGTGAAAAATGTACGTTTTACGAAGGGAATGGGTCAATTTTTGCGTCTAGGGGCCCTCTTGGGACGCATGTTGGAGGCTTCTTGGGGCGTCTTGGGGGCGTCCTTGGACGTCTGGGGTCTCCTGGGGCCTCTTGAGGGGCCTCCTGGGGGCCTCCTGGCGGCCTCTTGGGGCGGAAGGCTCGAGCTTGCGGTTCGTGGTCCCCCTCTGGGCCCCCTCTTGGGCCCGTCTTGGGGCCCTCTTGGGCCATCTTGGGCGCCTCTTGGGCCGTCTTGGGGCCCTCTTGGGCTGTCCTGGGGCCCTCTTGGAAGCTTCTTGGGCCGTCTTGGGGCGGTCTTGGGCGCCTCTTGGGCCGTCCTGTAACGTCGGAAAGCCCAAAAGACAACTTTGTTGAAAATGTACGTTTTACGAAGGGAATGGGCCAATTTTTGCGTCTAGGGGCCCTCTTGGGACGCATGTTGGAGGCTTCTTGGGGCCTCTTGGGGGCGTCCTTGGACGTCTGGAGGCCATCTTCAGCATCTCGGAGCCCTCTTGGAGGCCTCTTGGAAGTTTCTTGGGCCGTCTTGGGCGCTCCTGGGGCCGTCTTGTCTGACCGGGGAGGCCTCCGGCAAGCCCCGACGAGCCTCCGGGCCCCCCGGAGCCCACATTTGTGGTCGAGGTCCCGGCCCTGGGCCCCCGGACCCGGTGCGCCGTTATATGTATATATATATATATATATATATATATATATATATTTATTTATTCTCATACGCACCTCTCCGAGGGAGTAGAGCTCAGAGGCGATTAATGCGCACGCGTCCGCGATTTTTCTGGGCGTTTCCCTCGGGACATCCTCGAAATTCTGAAAATCGGTGGCACCCCTCACGCAGATCGTGACGTCAGGGTCCAAAAACACATGGGAATTTCAACATTTTAACATAAAACCTTCAAAAACACATGGTAATTTCAATAATTGTGACCCCGATTCTCAGGGAATGGCGGTTTCGCTTGAAAAATCCTTCCAAAATCGAGCCCCAGACCCCGCCTCGGAGCCTCCTGGGGGCCTCCTGGAACCTCCTGGGGCCTCCTGGGGCTTTCTGAACCTTCTGGCACCCCAGACCCCGCCTCGGAGCCTCCTGGGGGTCTCCTGAAACCTCCTGGAGCCTCCTGGGGCCTCCGGCGGCCTCCTGGGTCTCTGGGGCCTCCTGAAGCCTCCTGGGGTCTCCTGGGGCCTCCTGAGGCCGCCTGGGGGGGCCTCCTGGGGCTTCAGAACTACATGCACACAGAGACACAAATCACGCCCAACACATCACACGCTAGACAAACATAACACACACACACACACACACACACACAACACCTACAACACACAAAAAGCACGCACCACACAAAGCATACATCACACACACACACACACACACACACACACACACACGCACGACACTCACAATCCTGGGGCCTCCTGGAGCCTCTTCTGGTATCCAAGTCGGGCCTCCTGAGGCTTCCTGGGGGGTCCTGGTACACACATCGCAAGGTGTGGCAACCCCACTTGCGCTCGAGTGCGACTTCGATGTTGCATTTCACTCCTGCTTCAAACGCCCCTTCAGTTTGTTGTATGAGCCTGGGCACACACGTGCCACTTGTATATATAATCATACGCACCTCTCCGAGGGAGTAGAGCTCAGAGGCGATTAATGCGTAATTACGCGGGGAGCCGCGTCCGCGATTGTTCTGCCCGTTTCGCTAAGGACACCCTTGAAATTCTGAAAATATGTGACACCCCTCACGCAGATCGTGACGTCAGGATCCAAAAACACATGGGAATTTCAACATTTTAACATGTAACCTTCCAAACACAAATGGTAATTTCAATAAGTTTGACCCCGATTCTCAGAGAATGGCGGTTTCGCCTGAAACATCCTCCCAAAATCGAGCCCCGACGTACCCTCTGGTACCCCAGACCCCGCCTCGGAGCTTCCTGTGGGCCTCCTGGAACCTCCTGGAACCTCCTGGGGCCTCCTGGGCTTTCTAAACCTTCTGGTGCCCCAGACCCCGCCTCGGAGCCTCCTGGGGGTCTCATGAAACCTCCTGGGGCCTCCTGCGGCCTCTTGGGGCCTCCTGAAGTCTCCTGGGGTCTCCTGGGGCCTCCTCAGGCCGCCTGCGGCCTCCTGGGGCCTCCTGGGGCCTCAGAACTACATGCACACACAGAGACACAAATCACGCCCAACACATCACACGTTAGACAAACAAAACACACACACACACACACACACACACACAACACCTACAGCGCACAAAAAACACGCACAACACAGAGCACACAGCACACACACACACACACACACACACACACTGGAGGTAACTGTGTTCTGTGGCATCTTGTATCTCGGGCCTCCAGCAGACCGTCGGGACGACCTGCGAGCCCGGGAACGCTCTCGACGAGGCAACGCACCCCGAGGCACGACAACCTGCGAGAATCTACGACAACACAAGAAGCGTCCCAACCCCCCCTTCGTGATGCTCTCTCCAGGGGAGGTCTGGCCCTCTTCCCCGGGACCTGCTTCTCGTCCCGAGGCGTTCTTTGCCCGTCCCGGGGCCCGGCACAGTGGAGGCCCATGCCAAGAAACACCCCGCTTGCCTCCAGGGTGCCCTCGGCTTCTTGGGCTTCTCTTGTTTGTGTATGGAGAGCGTGCTGTTCCCACGCCCCACATCAGTGGACGTCCTGGGGTCTCAGTGTCGGGCGTCTTGTGGAAGGTTTCTTGTGGACTGGCCTCCACTGTACTGTCGGGGCGTTGACCTAAGGAACCCTAAACAAGGAACGAGGCCCCCTTTTTTCCACAAGTGAACCTCCGATCTCCTGTCGAAAACCTAAGGAAAGCCTGAGGCAAGCTGTGAAACACTTGAGGAACGCGGAGCCCCTCCCCAACGAAAAGCGTTCCTTCTTCAGGGCCGAGGGCCCCTTTTTTCCATAAGTCAACCCTCGATTTCCTGCCGAAAACCTAAAAGGAAAGCCTGAGGCAAGCTGTGAAACACTTGAGGAACGCGGAGCCCCCAACGAAAAGTGTTCCTTCTTCAGGGCCTCCACGGCAAGGGCCCCTGGCCGCACTTCTGCCCGAGGCGCGGACCCCCGACCCCTCGATCCCGAGCCGCTGCTCGACGGCCCCGCGGCCCAGCAAGGGCCCCGAGAGGCCGACGACTGCAGCGGAGGCCAGTCCACCACCTCCTCCTCCTCCTCCTCCTCCTCCTCCTCCTCCTTTCTCTCTGCACCTCCTCATCCTCTTCCTCCTCCTCTCTCTCTCTCACTCTCTGCAGAAACCTTCCACCAGACGCCCGACCCTGAGACCCCAGGACGTCCACTGATGTTTGGCGTGGGAACGGCACGCTCTCCATAGCGGAACCGTCGACACCCAAGACAGCCAGGGCACCCTGGAGGCAAGCGGGGTGCTTCTTGGCACGGGTCTCCACTGTATGACGAAAACCTCTGGCTCGACTACTTTTTCGGGACGCCGGATGTCTGGGACTGCTTCACGACGCGAGGATGTCGGTAGAGGCCTCATAGATGGGGTCCGAGTGGATGGGGTCGGAGGATCGAGCCGCATCCCCGATGGATCGCCGATGCATCGGCGACGTCGGCGGTGCGTCGACGACGCCGACGCCAGCGCGGGGAATCTCGGGCTCCACATCGAACCGCATCGGCGATGCAGCGGCGATGCTCGGACCCCGTCTAGGAGGTCTAGAGAGGAGGAGAGCAGGAAGACGAGGAGGATCCTCTTCTCTCAATCCCCCTCCTACTCCTCCCTCTTCTCCCTCTGAAGCAGAAGCGGAGGCATGTCGTCGTCGGGGGGGTGGGGGAGGGGGGAGCGGCGATGGGCCCCCGAGCGCGCGCTGCGCGGCCGCCTCCTCGCGTCCCAGCACAGCTCGCCGCCGTAGACGCCGAGCCTGCGGGGCGCTGCTCGGTGCGGGGGGGGGGGCGGAGGGGCGGCGTGACGTGGGCACGGCGCGGGGGCGGGTCGGGCCAACATCAGGCCGGGAAGCCTGTGTTGCATACTCGGCCGCGCCAGCGCACTCAGGATTCAAGTCCTCCGCCCCTGATTGCCCCCTTCCCTCCTCCTCCTCCGCGGCCGGCCTGTCTGTCTCAGTCTCCTCTTCTGCACGCTCCAATTCTGCACGATTTGGCCCGACCGCTGGCGCGGCAACTCTGCCTCGCCGCCGATGAAAAAAACTGTGTTGCATCTGCGGGGGACCTCGTCTGTCACGTCGCGCCCCTATCCGCATCGAAGCCGTGTCGGACTCGTCGAGCCCGCGTCGAATGCACGTCGAATCTACATCGAATCCACGCTGACGAATCCGCGTCGAGCCCGACTCGAGCCCGCATCGGGCACAAGAAAAGATACGAATGTGGGGGACATACGAGGTCCCCCGAAGATACAACGTAAAGAAATAATTCCTAGGTCACCGTAACAACGAGAAGATGACTCAATCAATTGTTTCTGGGTCGCTAAGCCAGATTAAGCCAAATTCGGGATGGGATCAAGCGGGGTTCAGCAAGCTTAAGCGGGATGTTGCCGGATAAAGCTGGGCTAAACGGGATAAGAAGGATCATGTCGGATTAGGCCCGTTGTGGACCACGGATCACGGATATACCAGCGTCGAAGCTGAATTGAATGTTCAACCTCCCAGGAGTTGCATCCTAAATCGGAGGGGAACACCGAACTGAAACCGCCGATAGATCGGCGATAGGTTCTCGATAGCAAATCTGCACTTTGCTGCGGGGGGTAGGCTATCGGGCCCCTGGCAGCCATGAACGGGCGATGGGGGGTCGATTCATTCCCTCCGTGAGCATATTCCCCTCCCAACGTTGCTCCTAAGGGAGGACAAGGGAAAAGAAGGGACTTCATGAGGACAATCCTGAAAGCCTCCCGCGGCAACTCGAGACCCAATTACGTCAGATTCACGTCGGAGCCTCGCCGCGCGAAGGTCGCGGGCCAGGGTGGATAATGCAACTATTGTGCGTGCCGCGAGAGGCCTCCAGAATCTTGCGATGAGGAGGTGCAGACCGCCGACGCAATGGATAAAACACAATGTGAAGGTTCTGCTCTGGGCCCTGGGGGCCGTCACACAAGCGACTCGAGATGAGAAGCTCGTTCTGTGTTCGGGTCGGGGCTCCACGAACCCGCACTGACCAACAGCAGCAAATCGGACTTCTGAGGAAGGAGCAAGGGAGAGAGAGGGGAGGGGCAAGCGGGGGAGCGAGGATGGCTGCGAGGGGTGGAGGCAAGGGAAGAATGGAAAGGGAACGAACGTGGAAGAGGGAGGCGAGGGGATGCAGCGAGGGACCGGGAGAGGGAGAGCCAATGAGAATTCGGAAGAATAATGAGAGACCCCACAAGGAGCGCGGTGAGCGAGGGAGGGGGGGACGAGTGTTTTGTGCTCCGTCGCATGGACAAGGATCCAGGTTCCGACTTCACCTCCAACTCAGGTTTTCCGACTGACCGGTTCTCGTCTTCCTTGCCCCATATTGCACCTCTTCCTCCTCCTCCCTCCTCCTCCTCCTCCTCCTCCTCCTCCTCCTCCTCCTCCTCCTCCTCCTCCGTCTCCAATGTTTTGCCAGTGCTTGGTCAGGAAAGGAGCTTTCGCAACCCGATTAAACGGCAAAGCGTATTCTTGGTTTCTTAACTAACGCTCAGGTTCACACGACTACTTGGTGATGTACATATCCCCGCCCTTGTCTAAGTGAGTGCGCCGCTTATGCTTAGCCCAGGTCACGGCAAGCAGAGAAAACCTGGCGGGCCGGGAGGGGGCGCCCGGGAGGGCGCGCGCGCGGCGGGCGGGGCCCTCGTCGAATCGCGCGGCCGAAGACGCAACAGCTTCGGTAGTCAACGATGCCCAGCGGCGGCGGGACAGCGACATGACGGCAACGCAGGGGCGATGACGAAATCAACTTCCCCTGCGGCCTCCCTGGCGAGCTCCACCCGCCAGAGTGGACGTTAACGATTCGCCAACGCCCAGACTTGTGCTCGTAGATCGGCCCGTCGCGCCGTGCCCGGCAGGCAGCTCACTCGCTACCTGGCTCGCAGCGCTCCGAGACGCTCGATGTAAAGCACGGATGCGTCGAGGGGGCACTCGCAGCATAGCCGCAAGCGCCCCCCATGTTCTTCCACTCAACCCCAACTCTGGTCGCCTGCCCCAGCTGCTGCAGCCGTGCCATTTGCCCGACCCCCAACTCCAAGACGACCACCAGGCGTCGGCGTTCCCGCGCCATGGCGGAGTGGAGTCCGACCTCGGCCGCATGTTGTCGGCGTTCACGCGCTGCCGTGAGGTGTAAGCACTTTTTCGCGCCATGGCGGAATGAGGTCTGCGCTCTGCCGTGAATATCTCTCGGCTGGTGGCCCCGATGCCATGGCGCAGCTTGGTGGGGCAGCGCCCGATCTTGAATGTAGATCCGGCTGCGTCGGGTCTGCTGCTCGGCGACGCCGAGATTCATGTTGATCGTCCGGCGCGCGACTGCTTCGCCCCTCGACTTCTTCACCGTCGCCCCCGGCCACCTCGCCCACGCCTTCGACGTCGCTAGTCGTTCTTGCTGCCGCGGGGCGGCCTTCAGGCCGCGCGGAGTTGGGGCTCGCTTCACCCTTGGCTGACTGAGCTCCAGGGTACGCATCTGCACAGACATTGTCAGAGGGAGCCTGGGCCCCAGGTTCCCGCGCGGTCGGCGCTGGAGGTGCCGGGAATTCCACCGGGGGCCAATGCTCCGCCAGTTCCCGTTCCATGGCCGCTTTCACGGCAGCGAGCGGCTGGACCTCGGCGCTCCGCCCGGACTCGACGCGCCACTCAGACCAACCCATGCGAGGCTTGTCGAGCTCGTGGTCCATCGGGAAAGCGCAGTCCCAGTCGAACGGCTCGAGGACGGCGCAGCCCCCCCCCCCTGTCCACAATCCCCCCGCCGACGCACGGCCACCATGTCCTCGGAGGGACAACAGGGTGATTGACATTAGCGGGCGTCTGGAGATGCTTTCAGAATCTTTCAGAATCGCTCAAAAACTTTCAGAATCTCAGAAGCTCTCAGAAGCTCTCGGTGCTAGCAGAATCTCTGATTCTCTCAGAGTCTCTCAGAATCCCTCAGAGCGCCCCAGAATCTCTCAGAATCTCTCAGGGGGTGCCCGAATGATTCCCCTGTTCTGGAACTTGATCCACCTTTGCCCCAGCTTCTTGGTCGCCCCCAATTTGCGCGGGGTGTGCTGCTCTGGCAGCGCGTCGCTCGCAGACTTCGGTTGCCGGGCGAAAACCGTCATGATGTTGCAACGGAACGCGGCCTTGCCCGGCAGGCCCTTCGCTCGGCGGTCGACGATGCCTTCTTCACATGTGTCTTTCAATCTGTTATTTGAACGGACTTGCGCTCGGTCTGGCTCGCAACCTTCAATCTCTCCCCCGTGCTCGGCGCCTCGGGGCCTGGGGCGTAGCCCCCGCAACCCTCCCGCTTGGCCAGGCCAATGTCTCGTGGATTGATGCGAGGCCAAATCGCAACGGGGGCCGCGACAACGGCGCCGCACTAGACGGGCGCACTGCACGTGAGGCAGCTCAAATTACCCACCAATTGCGTCAATCGCGCTGCACAAGGAGGCAACCGTCCTCCCAGCCCAGCGGCGCGCAGAGTGCGTCCTTGTTCTACATGGGATCGAGCGCGTCTTCATCGCCCACGCCGTGTACTCGAAAGTTGTCCTGGCGTGGCATAGTCAAGCCTATGCATGCTGTGTTGAAGTCAAGGAATAGTCTGAGCCCATGGCACCGTCAGCCATGGACCAGGGCCCACGAAATCTGGGCCCGCTGCACCCTGGGCACGGTGAGACGCAGGATATGATGAAGGAGTCGTCGCGCTGGACCCAGAAGCCTCGCTCTCGAAAATGCGAGGCTCGAAGGTGAGCGCGCGAGACTCTAAGAGTGGATCTAGGTCTTCCAGATCGAAAACACGGGCGCCCAAGGCTTGGCTGGCAATAGCACGCGCCCAGCCGACAGGCCTGAGCCACGTCGACAACGCACCGCGCATTTCATCGCATTGCCCGTCCAATACTCTCCGTGCCAGGTGAACCGCCCCACCCGAGCCTTCAGGGGCGCGGTGCGGGCCGAGCTCGGTCGGCGGGCAAGTTAGGAAACGGCGCTGGCGCACGCCATGGAGGTCCCTTTGCGGCGCCACAACGTACCTGGTCATAGACCTGCGCACAGAGGCACCGCCCATTGGAATGACGACTGCCTGGTGGGAGCGCCTTGCTGCCGCGACGTGCTTGACATGCATTCGCTCGGGGTCAACAACTCAGGCGGAGTGACACTTGCAAGGGCGGAACAACAGAGGCACCCTTCGTAGGCTTTACCATGGACGCACCCCCGACAACGCAGTCCTTGGTAAGAAAATCGCGCCCGAAACTGTCTCCCCAGTCGTCTAGCTTGACCGTGGGACCTTCAGCTTCCGTCATGTGCGCGCCAAGTATCGGAATTGTGTAGCGTGGTATTTGGGCAAGAGCACGCATGAAGAGCGCCCACGCCTCGTCGTGGCCCTCGCCGCCCAGCATCTTTACGACGTCGGACGCCTCGACCCACCTGCCGAACCTGCGAACGTGAGCTGCGCCGTGCATCGTCAGGCGAAGAATGAGCGAGCCGATGCGCCCAGCTTCTTCCACATCCATTTCCGAATGCCACGCGAGCGCACGCAGCTCCCAAGCAAGTCTCATGGGTTCATGGGGACGAGGTCATCCTCCGGCTCCGGGAGACAGTGGGGCTCGACCGCACTGCAGCGAGCGCGCAGGAGCCGACGCGCATTTACCCCGTCCTCAGGGGACAGGTGACGCAAATACTGCAATACCGCATCGCAGACCAGCTCACGGGAAAGCTCCAGTGATCTTTTCTGGGAATCGCTGCCGCGCTTCTGCGTGTCTGCGAAGGACTCGGAG